AATATTCTATTATAAAATTTAAAAAAACGAAATTTTTTTAACAAGTATATAAACTTTATAATGAGTGATCTCATAGAATAAAATTAAATAAACCCTTGTCAGTATAATGGAGCAAACTCATAAAATTGTGATTTTAATATTATTAGAAGATTCCGTTAACAATGTGTGATTCATTTTCAAGCTCAAGATTCATATAAAGTCAATTGAGTTAACAAAATTTCAGGCATTAATTGTTGATTTGTTTGCCACCTACAAGTGATCAATATTACAGACCTATCCTTATAATGAATGTAACGAAATATCATGTCCATATGCATCTGATAATTACTCCAAATGCTTATTATTTTTGATAAATTTATGAAGCTCCCTTGTGATTTGAATAAATACATTAAGGCCTCAGTGGTTTGAAAACTCATCAGTTATCTCCCCTGTTATTTTTATAAAATATGACAAAAGGAAGAAAACTAAATGAAAAAGACGATAAAAATAAGAGTTTATTTTATTTCCCCCCTAAGCAGCTGCTTGCTTACCACGTAGTAGGATAATTTAAAAAAGAAAACACATTATCACTAAGGTTGTAAGTTTACATGAAGTATTGATAACATAACTAATTTGTAATAATTTTAATCGATTCTTTTTATATTGATAACAAAGTTATATACTGTTAAATTCAATCAAACTATAAATATTGATTTTAAGATATTTTTAAATTTCAATATTTCAGTAAAAAATATTATTATTCGAATTTGGTCCGCTTAATTAAATTTATCAAATTTCTAATCATGAAGATAAGACTTTTTACAGTTTCTGTGTTATTTCCAGGTTCAAATTTGGTCTACAATATTGAGGAAAATTTCAACTTCTAGAATATTTGAAGTATTCTTGTCGCAATACAATTAATTAATGAGAGATATTTCACTCTCGCTGAGAGATGACATATTTTCATTGACCAATTCTATTGTAAAAAGACGCACAGAAGACTTTTTTTCATTTTCATGTATTAGAAAGTGCGAAAGATGTAGGCTACTAATTGGAGCAACGTACAAAATACAATAAAGCACATGATGTAGGCTACATATCAGAATAATGATTTCTTTGGAACAGGTATGCATTTGACAATCCAACTAATTGGCCAAGAGGCAGCTGCAATTCCAATACAGGCACCCCCCCAGTTCAACCTCTCTCCATCTCCAAACCTTTTCAGATATTCCAGAATCATTATTTGAAGAACAATGGTAATCCCAACAATCCTCAAAAACAACTTGTTCTTGTGGACTCCCTGAAAGACGTTTTTCTTTTCCAGCTTCCTTGTGTTGAACTCATTAAAGACTTGACAAAGCACAAATATATTGAATGTCGAAGTGTCTTTTAGATTCTCATTTAGACCAAACAACGATTCACCTCTGAACTGTAAGATTAAGAGGATGACTATCTGATAAAAAGCTTGAGCAAAAAGACTCCTCAGTATAACGTTTGTGATAAGTGGCTGAGTTTGACTCAAAGGTGGGTTCTCCATGAGCTCCTGAGCGGGCTGCTCCGTAACAAGGGCCAAAGCACCTAATGTGTTCACGATCAAGCTTACCCACAATAACTGAACGGCTGTAAAGGGATTTTACCGACCAAAAGTGCTGGCCAAAAGTTAACCACAAGAGCAGCAACAATTACTGTAAGCTGGAACTGAATGAATTTCTGGATGTTGATATTGACACATCTTCCCCATCTCAAAACTGTGGCTTTAGAAGCAAAATTATCATCTATGATGACAATATCTGAACTCTGCCTGGCCACTTCAGTCCCTTGAATTGCCATGGACAGTCCTATATCTGCTTCCTTTAGAGCTGGTGCATCTTTTGTGCCATCCCCAGTGATAGCAACCACATGACCTTTCTGTTTTAAGCACTGTACCATGAGCAGTTTATCAGAAGGAGAGGACCTCGCCATCACACAGATTTGGTCAATTTTCTCCTTTCTCTCTTGTGGTGTGTAGTTTCTAAATTCCTCCCCTTCAACCACTGCTCCAGTGGGCATGTCTTGCAGGTTTGGTCCAAGAATTCCACATTCAGTGGCCACAGCTTTTGCAGTGAAAATATTGTCACCGTTGATCATTTTGATGTTTACTCCAGCATGTTGACAATCTTCCACAGCTTGTTTTATCCCTGGATGGCATGGATCCTGGATACCAACCAGTCCTAATAGGGTCAGACTATGTTGATTTAGCTTGTCTTGATCTTCTACATCTTCATGCTCTTCTTCTTGAACTTGTTTATGCGCAAAAGCAATGCATCGAAGTCCGCTATCTGCTATAACTTGAATAATTTGTTCTAGCTTTCCCCTTTCAACAACATCTAGATATTTCATGTTTCCATCAGCATCGTAGTAACTTGAACAAATCGCTAGAATAATTTCTGCTGCTCCTTTCCGGTGAATGTGGATAGAGTTGTCTGTTTCTTCCTCATCAAAACCCCACAACATTTCTTTTCTGAGTCGAAGGCCTCAAGTTGGAGAACAATGCAACTCTGCTTTGTTTCCTCCATATCCATGTGCAATTCCTGGGAAGCCCAAGAAAAAATTGCTTTTTCGGTCGGATCACTACTTGAAAACTCAAATTCAGACCCTAAAGTTTCCCAGTAGGCGCCATCAGCAGTATTCAGAGCAACCCCTTGTTGGATCAAATCGATAACCGGCGGATAAATTAAAGAAGCACAACCCTCTGTGACAGGTTCTTGGCCAAGCCAAAACTTTATGACCTTCATCTTGTTCTGGGTGAGAGTTCCCGTTTTATTAGTACAGATGACAGTCACACAGTTCATTGTCTCGCAGGCAGGGAGCTTTCTCACCATAACATGATCGACAATCATCTTCTTCATCGAATACGCAATAGCAACTGTCACAGCCAAGGGAAGACTATCTGGGAACATTAAATTCACAACATGAATAACTACATCACTGATACGATCACTACGGAATTCAATAGTTCCATCAGGGTATTTTGTATGACCAGTGGAGTAACGGGACAACAAGATTAGAAAAACAAAAATAGCAATAGCACCTCCAACTATGTCTACCAATGACATTATTTTCTCTACGTGAGCTTTAAAAGGTATCTGTTCACTTGTCTGTCGACTGATTTGGCTCATCATTTGGCCCCATGTGGTGTTCATGCCCACTGATGTTGCAATCAGACGACCATACCCATCAACCACCTTGTTGCCAGAAAACAAAAATGGATTTTGATTGCTGTTTACCTCTACATACTCGCACTCCCCTGTTATGCTTGATTGCTCCACTTGTAAAGAATGCCCATCTAAGAGCAATCCATCAGCAGGAACTTGGTCTCCCATCTCTAAGCATATAACATCTCCAACAACAGCTTCCAGTATTGAAATTTCTTGGCGCCGGCCACTTCTAACCACATCAATTTGGATACTGTTTCTGACTTTTGAGAATAGCTTGTCCAATTTTCTAGTTTGACAATAGTTACATAAAGCTGAGACTGCAATATAAATAAAGACAGCAAGAAATATGCTTCCTCCATCTTGCCATCCCTCTTTCAGTCCAGAATCGTTAATTCCCAAAGCAAGAGAAACAGCTGCACAGCCGAGGAAGATTAAAATCTTTAAACTCTTTAAAGCTTCCGCAAGAAAACTGAAGAAGCTCTTTATTGGTGGTTCCTCATAGGTGTTTGAACCAAATACGTTACGCCGGTGCGCTCTGTCTTCATCACTACCACAGATTCCACCATCAAAATTTGTTTCAAGAGCAGAAGCCACAACGCGAGTCCCTCCAAAATTCAGAAGCTGCTGGAGATTTTTCTCCTTGACAAGCTTGGTGAGGCTTATCTGGGAGATTTCAGGTTCTATTTCAGTATTGATTCTCACTGTAGCATTTTTGGCCAGAGACAGTAAAGTTCTGCAACAATAGATTTTGGCACAAGCTGAGCGCCATCTTCTCTTGGGTGTGCTAAGAGTCCCGTTAAAATTCAGTAAAAACTCTGTGCAAACAACTGTTTCAGAGAATGGGGTGGACATGGTGCTTGATCAGAGCCAAAGAATGATAAAGAGATAACATATAACTTTTTATTAAGATGCATGCAGAGTAATATATATACCTTTCAACATGTAATCACTTTAAACATTTTACATGGCCATGAAACGCTCAAGAAATTTCTTCAAGCTTATATCAATTATCATTTGCTTTAGTGCAGCTTGTCGGAAGCAGCAAAAGTTTAGGTCCCTTAACCCACAATCTGAAACAAGAAGTCAAACACCCTTTAGATAACAAAAATTCTATTTGTTTCAACAACTTATCACTTTAAACACTTTCCATGGTCACGAAATGCTCAAGAAATTTCTTCAAGCTTATATCAATTATCATTTGCTGTACTGAAGCTTGTCGGAAGCGGCAAAAGTCTTGATCTCTTGACTCACAAGCTGAAAGAAGTTAAACACACTTTAGTGTATTGAAAGTGACTGTATTCTTGATACTAACCTTTCGATTAGATACGATCCCAAGGTTTTGTTATAAGTAACATTTAATCTAGTAACCTGGAAGGTTTGTAACTTCGATAACTTTTGGGTTCAAATTATAAACCACATATTTTGTGACTTATCTTAGAGCATTAGATTTATAGGATGTTTGATGTATGCACAAATTAATCCAACACTCCATCATTAAAAAAAAAAAAAAAAATTAATCTAGTAGAATTTTTTTTGGTAATGATACGATCATTGTCATATGATTACTGTTACTCTCATTACACGGTGTGTGTATTCCAGTTTTATTTTTTTATTTTTCGTTTAACATACTTACTAATACATCCACCCTAGACTTTATCTTAGTTATGGATGCAGTAATCATATCTCTGTTAACTCATGATATTCTGGCACAAATAATCAGACACTATAAAGTTTGTCAAAAAGTAAGGGATAGAATTTAAACTTATAAAAATTTCAAGACCTAAAGCACCATTTATATTAGAAGCTTCTGCTCTTAGTCTTAACATGAAACTTGAATCAATGTGTGTGGATATATGTCTCTTGCTGTAAATCAAATGTGGAGTGATATTTGTCACTAAAAGGGTGTTTCTTCAAGTAATATTATTTTTTGTTTCAGGAATCACAAATGATTCTAAGAACCCTTGTGTTGACACTTTCCGTTCAACTACCTTACCCAGGTTGAAGCGCTTTGGAGTCCCTTATGAAGGATTGGGGCTGAAAATAGAGAGTCGTGGATCTCCACCTCATGGTGGGGGAGAAGTTATTCTGACTATTCCAGTTATTGATAAGTTAACGGTGAGCCTTTGAATTTTAATGTAGTACACTGCAAATAGAATATTTTCCAAAAGATTACAAGATACAGTACATTGGAAACAGTAACAGCAAAAGATAAGATAAAAGAGGGTAAAGTAAAGTGAATTAAATTAGAAAAAGACTGACAAAAAAAGATAAAGAGTATGGGAGGCTATCTATTTTGCATATTTTTCTTATGCTTTTTCTCTGTACAGGCAGTTAATTGGCTTGATGAAGGAATGGTAAAAAGGATTAGATGGGTCACCTACTCAACCAGAGTGTCTTCTCAGTTTGAAAGTACCATGATTCATGCTGCTCGTGGAATCTTCAATCGTCTGCTTCCAGATGTTCACATATTTACTGATCATAAAGCTGGTCCTCAAGCTGGAAAGTATGGTCTCATTTTGCTGTAGATATTATCTTCCTTTCTTTTAGCTAGATATCTATATATAAAAAAATCATTACAATTCTGTGCTGAGTACAATTTATCTCATCAAGAGGAGCGATTTGATGGCAGGTCACCTGGTTATGGAATTTCACTGGTTGCAGAAACTACTTCTGGTAGCTTCATTTCTGCTGATACTACAGTACCTTATGCACAAGGAGAAGCAGGTTAAATTGATAATGATGAGAAGGAAGGTTAAATTGATAATGATGAGAAGGAGGAGTTGATGCCGCCGGAGAATGTTGGTAAGGAAATTGCTTCATTTCTTCTTGAAGAGATTCAGAAAGGTGGAGAGATTCCGTGAGAGATTGACCTTCGAAGTATACTTATTGCTAGCTATTAGTGATTCATACGCTTGCGAATATTAAATTTGCACATTATTGTAGCACGTTCAAGCATTGAAGCAAAATTTAGGAGAATGACACTTGGGATTTGTGCAAGGCCGACTCAAGGGGTAGGCAAGTGAGGCACCTGCCTAGGCCCCCCAAAAAATAGGGCCAAAAAGGGTCAAATTTTTTATAATTTTTTTTTTAATATATTACAAAAATAAAAATAATGTATAATTTCTTATTAAGGCCAATCCAAGGGGCCCCCCCAAAAAAATAAAAAAGACCAAAATTTATTATAAACTTTTTACATATATTCCCACCCAAAGTTTGACGAAATAGCAAGTTTGTACCTTTAGTTTCATATATTCTAATTTATACCCCTAAATTAACACATTGAATTTCTTTTAACAATGAAAGGCTAAAAGGGTCATTTACATGTCTCAAATTACTCACCTCCAATTTAATCCTAAAATTTGACATTCATCATCTCCACCCCTCTTTCGCCACCGACCATTTGGAGCTGATTTCGATCGATTTTCTCACCAAAATCGACCGGAACAATCACTTTATCATTTTCCAATGTTTTCCCAGCCTTGATATCCTCAATTTGGCCAATTTTTTTACAAATCTCGCAACCTAGCTCCATTGCGTGTGATAGCCATTTCTGACCCTTTCAACATGTACTTAGCACGTTGGCCTTCCCCAACACCACCATCTTCCTCCCCTCAATCTTCTCACCAAAACCCTTATCATACCTCATCCGTTTACTCTGTCAATTGCTGGCCGTCGATGCCTTTTGGGCGGTGAATTCTCAAGTCTATTCTGGTTAATCTAGGCATTAGAAATCACTCATTTCACCACCCATCGCTTCTCCAGCATTTTCTCTACAAAACCCCCCACCAACCTAACCCCATTAGCCCGCTGATCGTCGTCCACCTCTTCTAGTGATTTTGCATCTCAAAAGGCAAGAAAATAAATTTGAAATAATTTTTTTAATATATGCTTATTTTATTAGAAGGCCCCCAAAATAACTTTTGCCTAGGGTCACAACGTTCTTAAAACAGCCTTGGATTTGTGAAGCTTTGTGGCTAAGACTTCTCTTGTAAGATTTGGGCTATCAACCCAATCAACCAATCCAATTATATTGTGACAATAAAGTAGCATGTGACATTGCTCACAAGCTAGTTCAACATGATCATACGAAACATGTTGAAGTAAAATGATTTTTCATCTAAGAAAAACTGGATGAAAAAACTATTGAATTGCCCAAGATTCGATCAAATGATCAATTGGCCAATATTCTTACCAAGGTTGTCTCCAAATGTATTTTCTCACAAGGTTTAGACAAGTTAGGTATGTGTGACATCTATGCACCAACTTGAGGGAGAGTGTTGAGATTTCCTAAATATTATGTGATCTCTTAATTTTTTCAGTTTTAGGATACTCATAATGTTCTGATGTCCTGTAATCTCCTAATTATGTTGGTATATTGTAATTAACATAATTACGAGATTCCGTAGATTGTATCTCCCCTATATAAAGTTTGTAACTCTTAGTGTAAAATCAATGAATTGAAAATACAATTCTTCAAACTTTCACTCGCAAAGCTTTTACTTTGTGATAAACTCTCGCCAACATCAAGCAACACAACCTCATACTTTAATCGCCTCTTGACGATATGAAATGAGCTTGATGCAGTTGAAGAACCGTTTGAAAGGCCATCAACAATTGTTTAACAGATCAAACGGGTATGAAGTTTCAATATATCATATTATATATCATATCAAATCTTGTTCAATACAGCTTAGGTACTTAACGAAAAAACTACATAATTGAGTTTTTAAAGGAATCATTGATTAACCGTATTTACAAACAAGTTATGCTAGTTACTACTCAATATCTTAATTAAGCACATTATCAAAAGTTAACAATTGGAATCTCTCTGTATTTACTTAAATTAATTAGCACAAAAACCTATTTCAAACCCATTTAGATTTACATTTGCTCGAATGATCCAACTGTATAGAATTGCTTTGCATTAGATGAAAACTCAAACGTTACATGCTCACATGAGAGTAAATATCAATGAGCCACTTAACCATGATTTTACTTGCTTGTTGATTTTTGTTTCATTTTACTATTTAAGCAAAAAAAAACTTTTTTACACTTTAAAAATAATCATGACTTCATTTACAGTATATGATATAGATGACAAACATCAATATGTATTATCAAATAAGTCATTGCTAGGATTCCAAAGGGATATAAAGTTTGAATAGAAAAATATTTATGCTAAATCAAAGATATTTATATGTAAAACATCTCCCAAATAAAATGGTTAGACAAATCAATATATGAAGCCACAACTTTCCAATAAAAACTTGTGGGAGGACGTTAATGAAGCTTAGAATTCAGATGTGTCTTAGATAGGATTGTTGTATTAAACAAAGCCAAGTGACATGTGATTTTATTTTATAACAAAACAGATTTTTTTTTTGGAATTTATATTTTCTTCACGTTAAGAACATTGTAAATTATGAAATCTTCCAATCCAAGTCCAACAAAGAAACTATCTAATTAATTTTTTAAAGGAATTGATAGGAACCCAACTAGAGGAGAGGCTAGGAAGGATGGAGTAGCAGGAAGATATCCTACAAGGACTCAGCAAGCTCTTGCATGGGCAAAAGATTATAACATGGGGCGTTGAGCAGCAGAGTTATAAAAGCAAAGTTATTTTTATGCTATTGTCATTAGTTTTGGTTAATTGATGTTATTATTCCTTATGTTGGGCATTAGTTGGATTATTAAGACTTTATTATTTTATGGTTATTTATATTACTTCATCATAATAAGAAAGGCATGCAAGTTTTTCTACAACTCTTCTCTCTCGCTACTCTCTATCTCTCTCAATTGCTTTGGAGTCACTACTCCCTCATATAGAGTAGATCATCCCGTCATTTGGTGCTTTCGTTCCTTATGGCTGAGGGCATGTGTCTTCGCTCCTTGGATGAATAGGTTACCTGCCTTTCTACTGGCCAGGCTGCATAAGATACAAAATTGAATTCCTTTGAGGAATTTATGAAGGAACTTGCAGTAAAATTAACTATGCTTGATGCTAAATGGGAGCAGTCCTTGTGCCTGTTATAACAATTGTCCTCAAGGACGTTGTCCAGTGGTGATGCTGATTCCCTGCCTGGTTCTAGTGCCCAACCACTTGCAAATCGTACCACCTTTAAGCCTTTTCACTTGGAAGTTCCCTGTTTTGACGGCACTGATCCGAAAGGCTAGATTTTTAAGGCATAATAATTCTTTGAATACCATGACACACCACCAACATAACCCCTCATCGTTTCCTCATTTCATATGGACGGACTTGCTCTCTCTTGGTATCGTTGGATGCACGCCAATGGTTAGCTTCCTTCTTGGCTGGTTTTCCTGTATGCTCTATAGCTTCGTTTTGGCCTTTCTAAGTTTGTGGATTATCAGGGTGAGCTCTCTAAACTATGCCAGATTAGTTTCGTTAATAATTATCAGTCCTCGTTTGAGGAATTGTTGACGCAAGTCTTTGGTCTCTTGAAATCTTTTTTGTTAAGTTTTTTTGTGTTTGGCCTGAAGCTAGAAATTCAATGGGAAGTTCGGTCTTGTTGTCCACAATCCCTCACGCAAGCTTTCGACCTAGCCCCTTTGCAAGAGGATAAGTTATGGATTTGAGGCAGCCAATACGGCATCTGTTTGCTTCTCGCTCATGGGCTCCTCTGAAAGCCAACGATAGCTCCTTGCCTCCATTATTACCGACTCCACCTGCTCCTTAACGGATAAAGGTGCTACCTTCTCCACAGCCATTTCTGTTCCAGTGAAGCAACTAACCGTGACTCAAATTCAAGAGCATCATGAACAGGGCCTTTGTTTTAATTGCGACAGATGTTTTCATCGAGGGCATCGTTGCAAGGCCAAATTTTATTTGCTGACAGTGGTCGATGACTCCAAGGAGGAGATTGTGGCTGAGGATCAAGAGACCTCTAATCTGGTCAAGGAACCAGAAGTGGCAGCTATTATTTTTCACGCCTTCATGGGGCAATGTAGTCCTAGTACAATCTGATTGCATGGGAATATTAGGGGCCAACTGACGGAGGTATTGGTGGATAGGGGGTCTACTCACAACTTTTTATAAGAGCTGGTTGCTATTCATTTGGGCCTCCCTATTGTTTCTTCCTCCCATTTTCAAGTGCTCATTGGTAATGTGGATTCTTTGAGTTGTTCAAGAGTGTGCTCGGGGGTTGCCTTGGAGTTAGATGGTCATTTCTTTTCTGTTGATTTGTTTGTTCTTCCAATCCATGGGGTTGATATGGTGTTGGGCATGCAGTGGTTAGCCACCTTGGGGCTAGTTGTTATGGATTACAAAGCCCTCACTATGTCCAAGTCGTTCGGCCATGCCTTGACCTTGCAAGGTAAACAATCACAAAGTGTAGAACCCTTTCACTTGCACCAATTGGAACGACTTCTTCGGGTACATTCAGTGGTTGATACTTATCACCTTTGCAGTTTAACCAACCACTCTCCTCTCTTAGTTTTTGATACTCCCTTTAGGTTGCCTCCTCAACGGCCTATAATCATCGCATTCCGCTCCGGTCAAGCGCTGAACCAGTTAGCATGTGTCCTTATCGTTACCCTCACTTCCAAAAAGGGGAGTTGGAGCACATGGTCCATGACATGCTTGCTAGTGGCATTATTAGACCAAGCCGAAGCCTTTTTCATCCCTAGTCTTGTCGGTGAAAAAGCGGGATGGGTCTTGGTGATTCTGTGTGGCCTATCAGGCTCTTAATCAGTTGACAATGCCAGACAAATTCCCAATCCTTATTGTCAATGAATTGCTTGATGAATTGTTTGGCACAACAATTTTTACCAAAATTGATTTGCGTTTGGGTTACCACCAGATAAGGAGAGTAGAGTCTGATATTGAAAAGATGATTTTTTTGATCCATGACAGCCACTACGAATTGGTGGTGATGCCTTTCGGCCTTACCAATGCCTCGACCACTTTTCAAGCTGCCACGAATGATCTTTTTCGGCCATACCTACGGAAATTTGTTATCATCTTCTTTGATGATATTTTGGTTTACAATAAGGGGGAGGCTAAACATGTTGAACATCTAACTGTGGTCCTTAATTGCTTACAAGCTCATCAATTTTATGCCAATCGAGGAAGGTGCTTGTTTGGGGTTAGCCGAATTGATTACTTGGGCCATATTGNTTGGAGGAATTTCTGAAGGATCTCACGGTAAAGGTGACTGCGCTTGATGCCAATTGGGAGCAGTCCTTGTGCATGCTGCAGCAATCATCCTCAAGGACGTCTTCCAATGGTGATGCTGATTCCCCACCTGGTTCTGGTGCCCAACCACTTGCAAATCATACCACCTTTAGGCCTTTTTGCCTGGAAGTTCCCCGTTTTGACAGTACTGATCCGAAGGGCTGGATTTTTAAGGCATAACAATTCTTTGAATACCATGACACACCACTAGCACAATGCCTCACTGTTTCCTCATTTCCTATGGATGGACCCGCTCTCTCTTGGTACCGTTGGATGCACACCAATGGTTAGCATCCTTCTTGGCCGGTTTTCCTACATGCTCTACAAATTCGTTTTGGCCCTTTTGAGTTTGTCGATTATTAGGGTGAGCTCTCTAAACTATGTCAGATTGGTTCCATCACTAATTATTAGTCCTCATTTGAGGAATTGTTGTCGTAGGTCTCTGGTCTCTCGGAATCCTTTCTGTTAAGTTGTTTTGTGTCTGACCTGAAGTCGAAAATTCAACGGGAAGTTCAGTCTTGCCGTTCACAATCCCTCACATAAGCTTTCAGCCTGGCCCATTTGTAAGAGGATAAGTTAAGGGATTTGAGGCAGCCAACACAACATCCATTTGCTTCTCGCTCATGGGCTCTTCCAAAAGCCAATGACAGCTTTTTACCTCCGTTATTGCTGACTCCACCTACTCCCCAACGGATAGAGGCACTACCTTCTCCACGACCATCTTCTCTTCCAGTGAAATAGCTAACCACGGCTCAAATTCAAGAGCTTCTTGAACGGGGCCTTTGTTTTAATTATGACGAACATTTTCATCGGAGGCATCGTTGCAAGGCCAATTTTTATTTGTTGACAATGACCGATGACTCCAAGGATGAGATTGTGCCCGAGGATCAGGAAACATCTAATATGATTGAGGAACCAAAAATGGTAGCTATTAGTTTTCACGCCCTCACGGGGCAACGCAGTCCTAGTACAATTCGACTGCATGGGAATATTGGGGGCCAATCGATAGAGGTATTGGTGGATGGGGGGTCTACTCATAACTTCTTACAAGAGCGGGTTGCTATTCATTTGGGTCTCCCTATTGTTTCTTCCTCCCATTTTCAGGTGCTCATTGGTAATGGGGATACTTTGAATTGTTCAGAAGTGTGCTCGGGGTTTGCCTTGGAGTTAGATGGTCATTCCTTCTCTATTGATTTGTTTGTTCTTCTAATCCATGGGGTCGATGTGGTATTAGGGGCGTAGTGGTTAGCCACCTTGGGGCCAGTTGTTATGGATTACAAAGCCCTCACTATGTCCTTCACTTGGTTCAGCCATGCCTTGACCTTGCAAGGTAAATAATCGCAGAGCGTGGAACCCATTCACTTTCACCAATTGGAACGACTTCTTCGGGTACATTCAATGGCTGATACTTATTAGCTCTATAGTTTAGCCGACCACTCTCCTCTCCCAGGTAACAACTCCTCAGCTTCAATCCCATCTCTTATGAAAGGGGTCTTAACTAGTTTTGTGGAAGTTTTTGATACTCCCTCTAGGTTGCCTCCTCAATGGCCTCATGATCATCACATTCCACTCCGACCAAGTGTTGAGCCAGTTAGCATGTGCCCTTATCGTTACCCTCACTTCCAGAAAAGGGGAGTTGGAGCATATGGTCCGTGACATACTTGCTAGTGGCATTATTCGACCAAGCCAAAGCCCTTTTTCCTCCCTAGTCTTGTTGGTGAAAAAGCGGGTTGGGTCTTGGCGATTTTGGTGGACTATTGGGCCCTTAATTAGTTCATAGTGCCAAACAAATTCCCAATCCCTACTATCGATGAATTGCTTGATGAATTGTTTGGCGTAACAAATTTTTACCAAAATTGATTTACGCTCAGGTTACCACCAGATAAGGATGGTCAAGTCTGATATTGAAAAGACAACTTTTTGGACATGTGACAACCACTACGAATTCGTGGTGATGCCTTTCGGCATTACCAATGCCCCAACCACTTTTCAAGCCGCCATGAATGATCTTTTTCGGCCATACCTACGGAAGTTTGTTATCATCTTCTTTAACATTATTCTGGTTTACAATAAAGGGGAGGCTAAACATGTTGAACATCTAATGGTGGTCTTTAATTGCTTACAAGCTCATCAATTTTATGCCAATTAAGGAAAATGCTTGTTTGGGGTTAGCTGAATTGATTACTTGGGGCATATTGTCTCAGGCACAGCGGTTGAGCTGGATCCTTCCAAGATTCAAGCCATGACAAGTTGGCCGACTCCGGCTAATGTTCGCCAGTTGAGGGGATTTTTGGGTTTGATAAGGTATTATCGATGGTTTGTGTGTGGGTATGCTCCCATTGCAGCGTTGCTAACGTCCCTCTTACAAAAAGATAAATTTTGTTGGACTATGGAAGCACGACAAGCATTTAACAACCTGAAGCTTGCCATGATTGAGGCACCTGTACTTGCCTTGCCGAATTTTGCTGAGACTATTGTGATTGAAATTGATGCCTCCAGGCAAGGTATTGGGGCAGTACTCATGCAGCACAAGCATCCCATTGCCTATTTTAGTAAGAAGTTATCTTCATGGATGCAACTTGCCTCTGCGTATGCTAGGGAATTATGTGTTGTTACTGAAGCAGTTATGCGCTGGCGCCAATATTTGTTGGGTCGCAAGTTTATCATATGTATCGATTAGCAAAGCCTCTGCAACCTCCTTACGTAGGTAGTTCAAACCCCTAAACAACAAACTTATTTGGTTAAATTATTGGGTTTTGATTTTGTAGTGAGTTATAAGTGGGGAAAGGACAACATCGCAACCGATGCCTTTTCGTGCCAATTTGTTGATGAACTACCTCCAGTTGAGCAGTCTTTTTTAGCCTTGTCAGTTCCTACTTTTAAAATTTTACAAAACATCCGTGACTATCTAGTGACAGATGCTCATTGTGCGGCTTTATTGGCCGATTTTCACAGTAGCTCCACATGGCCTCCTGGTTATAGTCTTGTGATGGATTATTGTTTTATCATGGTCGTGTGGTGGTTCCAGCAATGGGATCTTTGAGTTAGCAACTTCTCGTGGAGTTTCATGCCACACCCTTGGGTGGTCATGGTGGTTATAGAAAAACTCTGAGTAAACTGTCTTTAAACTTTTATTGGCGTAATAAGGGCAAAGATGTTAAGGATTTCATTCAAGGTTGTCATGTGTATAATCAGGCCAAATACCAAGCTCGCTCTTTTGGGGGCCTTCTGCAACCCTTGCCTATACCAGCTCAGATTTGGGAGGAGGTAGCTCTCGATTTTATCATGGGGTTGCCTTTGTCATCCGGGTTTTCGGTCATCATGGGGGTGGTAGATCGCCTGACCAAATATGCGCATTTTGGACCCCTTCGCCTGGGTTTACGATATCCAAAGTTGCTGCTTTTGTTTGTTCACTTAGTCTATAAAATCCACAGCTTACCTAAGACAATTCTCAATGATCGGGACCTTGTCTTTTTGAGCAACTTTTGGCGGGAATTGTTTCAGCTTAGTGGCACCACCCTCCTCCACAATTCAGCTTATCATCAGCGAAAGAACGGCCAAACAGAGGTAACAAATCGATTCCTTGAGCAATACTTGCGCTGCTTTGTGATGGACTAACATGATAAGTGGTCGGATTTCCTTCCCTGGGCAGAATTCTACTATAACACTTCATTCCACACTTCAACCGGAACCACATCTTTTACTTTAGTGTATGGTATGGAGCCTCCGGTGATCTGACCGTATGTGTTCGGTGAATCAAATATGGATGCAGTAGACTTTGAACTTAGCTCTCGTGACCACATTTTGAAAGAGTTAAATGAAAACTTGGGTCGCGGTTAGCAACGTATGGTTAGCCAAGCTGACAAGTGCCAGCGACCTGTGGAATTCGAAGTGGGTCAGCAGGTGTACCTGAAATTATAGCCTTATCATCAATTGTTGGTGAGTGGGCATACTTATTCCAAGCTCGGGCGATGATACTATGGACCCTTTGCAATTTTGCAGTGGGTTTGCAAAGTTGCTTACAAGTTGGCCTTTCCGGAAGGGTCCAAAATACACCCCGTATTTCATGTGTCTTTGCTGAAACCGTGTTCGGCTTTTCTGACAGTCACACCCTTGCAATTACCTCCTTTGGTCTACCGAGATCAGCCACACATCACTCCCCTTGCTATGCTTGGCCTCCGAATTGTGTCGCATGAGGGAGTTGACGTGCCGCAACTGTTAGTTCAATGGCACGGCTTACCACTAGAGGGCACCTCTTGGGAGGATGGTACGACATTTGAGGCCATCTACGAGAAGTTGTCTCACAACCTTGAGGACATGGTTGAAGTGGAATAGGGGAGTATTGATAAGAATCCAGCTAAAGGAGAGGCTGGGGAGGATGGAAGGAAGATATCCTACAATGACTTGGCAAGCTCCTGCATGGGCAAAGGATTATTGCATTGGGCTTTGAGTAGCAGAGTTATTTTTATGTTATTGTCATTAGTTTTGGTTAATTGATGATATTATTCCTTATGTTGGGCATTAGTTGGATTATTAAGACTTTATTATTTTAGGGTTATTTATATTGCTTCATCATAATAAGAAAGGCATGCAAGTTTTTCTGCAACTCTTCTCTCTCGCTGCTCTGTGTCTCTCTCAATTGCTTTGGAGGTACTACTCCCTCATATAGAGTAGCTTATCCCATCATGATACATTAGATGAATCGTTTGAGACTTTTGAGTCTTCCAATATCAGTAGGTTGATTGATTGTTTTGCTTTTCTATCCTCAAAAAAGATAAAAGATCTTCGAGAGTTTTTTTCTCAATTCAAAAGCGAGTATTCCAATTCAGCCAATAAATAAAAAATGTATCATGCCTGAATCTAACCAGGTTCTTGGTGGTGGAGGAATTGGCTGAGAAAAAAGAGGGATTCTAGATGTAAGATATCTAATGAAACCGTTGTTGGAATTGAAACTTTTATGCAAAGAGAAAGGTATCAAATGTCTGGAATTAAATTAATGATGAACAAGATGAATTTTATTCATATGTGAATAAATTTTCAAGTCTACAAAAATAAGATCTATACAGCAATGGCGTATATATTTGTGTGCTATTTTGCCTGAGATTTGTAAGAGTATGAGCATGCTGCGTTCATCTAATTACATTACTACGCCGCTTTGTCTGGAGAGCTGTTGACATAACGCGCAGCCTTTTTGTTATCTCTGTAAATGATGGCCTTGCCGAAGGGTCGAAAGACCAGCATTCTTCCAATAACCTTTTCCATTCTGGATCACAACGTTCCGGTAGAGGAGGCCTGAGTGTGTTGCTTACGATCCCGCCTTCACAAAGAGTTCACATAGCATCAAAATTTTCCTCAGATTTGTAACAGAATCGAGATAAAAGAATAACTATAGAAAGTAAATTCAAAAAGCATATCAAACCAAGCTCTTTAAATAATGAAGACAAAGTTCAAGATACAAGGATATGCACAAATGTAATTATCATGTTGGAAGCTTGAATTTTCAGATGTAAATGTAATTATGTACAAGAAAAAGATATGTTAGATTTGGCATGGTTATGAAAAAAATGTTGTCAATTTATTTCATTTTATATTTCTATTAGGATCAAACATAACATTCTCGGAAATTTGTGATCATTTCGTCAGATGTCTTGCAGTGAACAGTTAAAAGTATTCAAATGGATAAACTTTTAGTTTAACACCTTCACTTACCAAGGTGCTAAATGTAGCTCTCAAAACTATGAAGAAAAAGAATTGACAAAATTAATGTTGTTCTTCGCCAAACTAACGTATAAGAATATACGCACACTCCTATCTAAACGATATTCAATTGCTACAGTAATTTATAAAATATACTTCATATATCATCAAATGCAGGACGGACTATCTTGAGAAGATTTCGTTACGCACAAACGTGATGGAAAGAAGGTAAAAATGTTTAAACAATTAATTAGAAGATGTTACCTATAATAGCACCACAATGCATGTTGGCATATGGCTCTTCTCCAGTGAGGAGCTCCCACATTGCAATACCAAATGAGAAAACATCAACCTGGCGAAGAGAATTAAAAAAAAAAAAAAAAGAGAAGACATTAATACTATATTCTTTACAATGTTACTGGTTTCATTTTTAAATATATTCAAATTCAAAAGATATTATTTGAAGCCTTTATCCTAAGATGCTCATTAACCTTTTCAGAAACCCTGCTGCTGCTTCCATTCAATAATTCTGGTGCCATCCACGGAAGAGTTCCACGCACACCGCCAGACACAAGTGTATTGCGTTTAATTCGTGACAACCCAAAATCTCCAACCTGCAAAGCAGATTGGTGAATTATACTAACAAATATTATTAACAAACAAATGAAAAAGTCTTAAGACATCATTAACTAGCAACAAGAGAAAAATGTAAAAAGCTAGAGTATTTTCATGCATTGAAACATAATAAATTACAACTGCAGTAAAAGAAAAGAAATTTTATTCCCGCTACCTTGCAAATGGGTCGTTGGGGATCCCTCAAATTGACAAGCAAATTGTCACACTTCAAATCAAAATGAACAATATTTTTAAAATGCAGATATTCCATGCCAAAAGCTGCATCCATGGCGATCATAAGCCTTTTGCGGCGATCAAGTGATCTGTAGGAAAAGTTCTAAAGATTTCATGAATTCATTCCTTGTTAGAAGATAATAAGGAACATAATGCTGATGGATCTACTCACCTATCTTTCCTTAGTAGGACATGCCTCAATGATCCATTGACCATATATTCAGTTACGGTTGCCATTGTTCTACCAGGTCCATCGGGGACAACACCATAGAATGCTACCACATTTGGATGGTGAAGATTTGACAGGATCTGTGTCTCTCTCCAGAAGTCTTTTGTCTGGATAATCAACAGGATCAGATTTTCATTTCAAAAGATGTGAACATAAAATCTCAAAAAGGTAGAATATGTAACCTTGGGGATTTAAACAAGACTAAAGGTAGGATAATTATATCTAGAAACCTTGTCAATAAATGTATGCTCCAAGTGATTAAAAACTATTCTATCACCGATTATGAGTGATACCCATTTTCTTCCATATAATTTCATTTTTTAGAAAATTTTGGAGCGTCTACAGTCTAATAAACTGAATCAATATGAGCAACATAACAAGAATAATCTGAACAGAAAGAAAAAAGAGATTTCAGAGCTTATATGACCAATGATTCTGGAGACCCACCAACCGGTCTCGTTCCGATGATCTGCCTGAAAAACAACTCTTTTTTATTCTCTTTATAGCAACATCTGTTCCCCTCCACTTCCCATGGTAAACAGTTCCGTATGTTCCAGAACCTAACTCTTGTGATTCTTCAAGGTCATCATTCTTAATAATCTGTGTATGTGATCATGGAGTTAGTTAGACATAGACTTCAATAAAAAAATTATGCATAAATTTGTTAAGGTGGTTGTTATCAACCTGCAAACCATATATGTCTGCTTCTAATTCAGCCATTGCAGCATTGCTAAATACTTTTGCTTCCTATGCAAGATAAGTACAAGCTCAAACCAATAAGCAAAAACAATATCACAATTTAAGAGAAAAACCAAGTTCAATAGGGAAATGTCAAGATACTACCTCACCGTCAGATTGATTCATATTCTCTGCATCTGTTTCTCTTTGGGATGGATATTCATCACTGCCGTTATGCTGTACATGTGGTACTACTACCAGGGAGGAGGGAATGTCTGGAGGTGTACTATCAGTTACATCTTTCCCTATAACCCCTGACTTGAGCATCTTGTCTTCATGATCATTTTCTGAGGCTTGTGATTGGGCACATATACGATCTTCAGACTTCTGATCCTTTCCTGATGGCATCCTAATGCGTATTTTTCCAATTCTATGGTGGGGAGAATTTGTAGCTTCTTCATTGTAGATAGAATCCTCTTTACTTGAAGCATAACTTGTTGTCAATTTCTGAAGAAAGAATACAGAAATGGCTCATACTTTGGAGCATTTAAACCAATATCAAAACAAAAAAGGAAATGTACATACACATCTTGGGATTCTACGTTCTTGATTAGCAGCTCCTTTAGATGATATAGAGGGTAGTCCGGGGAATCCAAGGGAATCTGGTTGACTTGTCTCAGGCATAGCACATTTTTTATTGCTTGTAGCATTTTGTCTCTTAACATGAGACTTAGGTGCATTTGTGTCAAATTGACAACCACCAAGGTTCTCCTTTGTGGTACCTGCAGAATTTTCTTTATGAATAACTGGTAAAGAGAATAGCGAGCTCCCAGAGTCATGAGAATCTTGCAGGGGAATATGAGTGCTGGGTTGGTTGTTTATCGTATATTCCATGGCATTACCATATTGCATAACTTTAACACTTTCTTCATGGTGTTTTCTATCTGAAACAGAAGAAGCAGGATTCCAGTCCATGCAATTGAACTCTGGACTCCATTCAAAATTATTTTTGCATGGTTCTGGTGTCTTCATAATGCACTGATTCTTATATTTGGTACCTTGGTTTTTTTCATCAATCACCTCTTGCCATTGCATTGGCCACTCTTTTGAAGAACTTAACATTCCTACCATAGGTGATTTCTCTCTTCCAATAGTCCAGGGGCTTTGAGGTATAGTTGGCTCTCTAAAGCTGTAAATAGAACTCTCATATTGTTCATGTAACCCTGTGTCAGAAAGTGACCTTTCCTTAAGTGCAGGTCCTTCAGAGTTCTTATCTCTTTGGCTGTGTGCCGTATAATGCATAGTATCTCTACTGGGGCCATGATTTTGAAAATGCATTTCATGGCTTCTGTTTGTGTGCTCAGTTTCTACCATATTTTTGTTTTGCTGATGGTTATTCTTCAATTGCACATGGGCATAAGAAAGATTATCATAGTGGCTAATGGGATTTACACAAGAAAATTTGTCCACGGCTAAAGGATTGGCACTTCCATTGACAACAGCACATGGTTGATCCGCATTAATTTGCGCATTAGAGCTCATAGTATCACGATGCTGAACATTACGATTAAAAAACGTGCCTCCAAAATTCGAGGAATTAGAACTATAATCCTTATTCTCACAAGTCTGAATAGATGTAGGGGAGTCTCTATAAAAACCTACACTATGATCTGAAGCAGTTCCCAAGGCGGTTGCTTGACTTGCCAAACTCTGCCCACTAGAATTCCTTCGAGAAGTCACACTTAGCATGCCATTTACGGCAAAAACATACTGATAATCAGGATCACTCTGCTGGGTGTCCCTGCCTTCCAAAGAACTTGGACTCTCCGGTTCAGCTAGAGGTACAAGAAATATTCGCAGTCTATGAGGGCCACCAATTCTTTCCAATTCTTGATGTTCCTCTATCATATGATGAAGATCCTCATCCGAACAAACAGATATAAGTGCATCAAGATCCTCTCCTGGGAGCTGATACTTGATCGTATGAGGTTGGTTACAAATTGCTGAAGTCTTCTTTACGAGTTCCACCCAAGTGAGGTTTCTCCTGATGGATATAATCCGTGTCTCTCCACCCACATACCTAAGCTTCGAATCATTTGGCCTAGGTAATATTCTCCCGCCAAAGCTACAAAGGAACTTTATCTTTTGACTAAGAGCACTCTCCATAAACCCTGGTCCGTAATAATGGTATGACAGAGGAGAGCCCACTATGTAATGTGGGGAAACAGTTGGTTCTGTGGTAACTTGATCAGAATAAATTTCATCAGAAAACTTACCTGAATTTTGTCCAATAGCACCATATTGCCACGGATATCTGCTTAAATTATCATTATAAGCATTATTTTCTATTTCAGCTGCACATCCTGTAGCAGGAACCATATCTGAGACATCTGCATTGCATTCATAACTCTTTCTCCTTGATCCGTGAATGCCATTAAGATCCCTGTAAACTGCCTGATTGTTCTGATTGAAATTAAACCCCATTTGGGTTGGACGGCGATGACCTCCATCATTCATTACTGTTATTCTTCTTTGAGATGTGCGGTCCCTCAAAAACTCAGAAGAAAATTCCTCACCTGTCTGTGCACATATGTCATCTATATTTCTTTCCGCAGCAACTCGGTTACTTGACAAAACATTTTTTTTATATCGGTATAACTGCTTACCTGCAGTGCCTGAAGTCTCACTTCTCATGGCATCTAAAGAATTATTAAACCCAAGACAGCCAATCAGAAATGTCACGAAATCCCCCACTCTTGGGGATGCCCCCAGCGCCGATTACCTTATTTGCAGCTGCATATCCACAACCCACTAAAATGTGGGGCCTTCCTTTAGTTTTGTCAAAGATACTTGTGAAAATGCATCTATAAACTTTAATACACAAGCCTATATTCAAACTCAAAACCAAAAGTTTCCCATCAACTAATTGTTGGCATCAACTCTATAATTTTGCAATACAACTTGATATGCACCATTAAGAATAGTAAACATTTTACATACAATGCAGTTCTTTTATTCGGGTAATTTACAAATTCTCCCAATCCTCACAAAAGAGTCTTCATCAATTATGTGCAACCAACAAGAAGAAGAAAGTTGTTTACAAATTAAAATGTATCTACCCACAAACACAAAAAGAAGGGGGAAAAAAAAATTCCTTTTCTATGTTCAATCCACCTTTATTTTACAGGATGAATTCAGCAAAATTCCTATTGGGAACATAAAAAGTTGATCAATTGTTCAATAAATTTCCTAAAATATGCCAATCAATCAATGATCCCAGAAGAAAAAAACAAAAACAAAGAGAACTAACCTAATGAACCACCATTGTTAAGGGATAGCATCATGAAAATACATAAAAAAAAAAAAAAAAAAAAAAAAGAGTATCTATTGAAATAAAATAAGCAATTCAAACTAATACAAGCATTGTCATATTGAATACTGCATTCAACTGAAAAGGAACGAGGAGGTAAATTTAATAAACAAAGTCAAGAGAAAGAATGGTGATAGGGGTACCTATTTGTTTGTTGAAATTTGGTTTTGAAAAATATGTAAAACAGTTTGAGGTTTAAGTTATTTGGATAAAAGCAAAGCTAACCAAAAGGTAAAAAATGGTGATTAAATTGAAAATGGGTTTTGTTTTGTGAGGTTTGTAAAGAGAGAGGAAAAATGGGCGAAGGACAGGAAAGAGAGAGAGAGGGAGGACATCGCTTAAAATAACGCGGGCCTAACCGCAAACTAACTTATGAATTTTTCAGTATCGGACGCACTCTAAATAATAATTATTTTTCATATAACAAGTAAATTTATTATTTCTGCTTTCTAGCTTATACGGTTGTTCAAGCAATGGGGCTCACATCAACCTTTTTTTTTTTTTTTTTTTTTTTCAAGGACCACGACCCAATATGCAAAATTTGATAAAGGAAATGTCTTTGAACCCAATAATATCGTTTTATTACATATAGAAAATTGTAAATAAGGTAAAATAATAAATTTATAAATATATAACCATAATATTGAAATTCAAACTTGTTTCATAAAATTACATGACAATGTGTTTATGTTTTTCGAAAACTGAATGAAAACTGCTTAAAAAGTTAAATTGACAGAATCATCAATTTAAACCAAGTCAATCGGGCTAAGAAAAAAGATTAGAAGTCGAGCACACTCTAGAGACAGTGATGAGCCACTATAGGACTAGGATAGGCTTATGCCCTTCCTGAATTTTAATTTATTTTTTAAGTTATACTTTAAAGTTCTTCAATTTATATATGAAGTAATGAAAATATAAATATGAAGTAAAAAAGCCAGAAATTGTAAATTAATTAAAATTTTACTTAAAAAAAAAATGGATTTTGTGATTAATTTGTTAGGTGCAAATTAGTAATCATTTCCTTTAATTAATTTGGTTTTACAAATAAAATAAACAAAATAACATAAGGACACTCATCACAAAGAATTACAAACAAAAATGGATTTAATTAACATCAACAATCATGGTGTAGGTTCTTGCATAAATGATGTTATCTTTACTTAAGATCATCAAGTGATCATACAAGATTTAAGATTTGTTTCTTATTCTCTCTCTGTTTTTCTTTTTTCTTTTTCCAAATTATATATGGAAAGGATGTTCTACTTCGTGTGTGTTTCCATTCTATTATATTACTAATTTATTTTATTGTAATTATTAGACATTCATTTCCTATAAAGTATATATCATTTGAGTTTGAAAGTTTTAAATGATATTATTTTTGGATAATTTTTGCCCTCCTCAAGCCAAATTCTTGGCTGCGCCACTGTCTAAACTCTCAGAGAGTGATTTAAACAGTTGGTTTCTCTTTCTTAGTTGCTTTGATAAAAATTAGAGATTTAGCCCCTGTTTTACACATTCTGGATCATTATCTGCTATCCTATTGGATTAAAAAATAGGATATGTGTTTGTTATTTATTGAACCAATCCAATCTAAAAATTAATCTAACTTAAATAAGATTTTTGCCTAAAAATGAAAGAAGGCGGGACTTGTTTTTGATTATCCAATTCTATTCAACTGAAAATATTTTTCTTTCTCTCATTCTCATTTTCTGTCCTTCCAATATGAAAATTAGTCCACTCAAGACCACCAGTGTTTGCCAGCAACCACTGTCGGCCACCGCCACTATCACGGAGGTCGACGTGGCCGATTGGCTGGTTGCATTGATTTGGCCATTTCCAACTAGATCTATGACCAAAGATCTGGTCGTTGATGGCAGGTTTTGGTCGAGATTTGGCCTTTAACAATGGCCAAATTATGGCAGTTAACGATAACTAGAAAGATCTAGCCATCAATGGCCACCATATCTGGACATCAACAGCCAAAAAATCTGGCTATCAACTGCAGTTTGGCCATAGATCTGGCAATTTCTGGTAGATCCATGGTGGATCTGGTTGAAAACAGTCAATGGTGCATGATCGGTCAGATCCAGTCAGTCGTGCACCGTTTCGTGGACTTCAGTTACCATCTGACAGTGGTGGCCGGTGGCCGGTTGTTCCTCTTCAGTGACTAGGGTGCTGTAGTTAATTTTCAAGCTTTATTGTGAGGGTGTTTAGCAAAATTAACAAATCTAGAGGGCTAAAAAAGTAATCCAATATTTTCAAAAAATGTACCAAACAATATTCTGTCTTAAAAACCTTTTTAAAAAATGTTCCAAACAACTATTCAACATTTATCAAACTCGATATAATTTTCAAATATTTTACCAAACATATTTCATATTCAGATCCATTCAATTGATTCAACTAAATTCAAATTAAAACACTTTTTTAGAACAATATTTTAAAAAGTGTAACAAACAAGCCCTTAATAGGCCGAATTGTAACGGCGGGATGACATCAAGCAGCAGAGTGCCAGTGTACATAGGAAATGGAGTGATGGAAGCAATATTAGGTATGAATAAAGATGACTTGATAAATGCATCTCACAACCTTCTTCACAAAACACACACGTGGCAGTTGAGCTGGCAACTCCTACCAAAACGGCCGCAAAATGATTTCGACTAGACCTAAGAAATAGTTGTTCCTTCATAGGGAGCGGCCGTTCCATCCATGGAACGATGGAACACCCATTCCATAATTCATGGAACAAGTGTTCCATCTTATGGGTACCCATTCCATAAAGATGGAATGGGTGTTCCATCTATGGAACACTCATTCCATCTAAGGAACGGTCGTTCCTATGAAGGAACAGTCATTCTTATGATGAACTGCCTTTACACTCTAAGGAACGACGTTCATGTCTAGTAAAAGTCATGATTTTGGGTGGTGTAAAGCCAAATCAGTGCCACGTCGGCATTTGTGAGAGAAAGTTATGAGATTCATTTGTCAACGTATTATACTATTAAATAGTGAAGAGGTGGCAACGGATACAACTTGCAGTATTGACTTGTTTGTATAGTTTAGGTAGTCTAGGGTTTCCTTTTGACTTTTATTTCTTTTTGTTACGTTAAATAAGTGCATTATAACAATGCAATATAATAAATGATGTATCTAATAATACACAACCAAATGTATTTTTAATACAAAATTATAAATTATCGGTTTGGGTCAGTTTTGTCTAATTTCCTTTAAGTCTAGTACCAACCTAATCAATGTAGATTCTCTTGATAGTAAGGTTATTATCAAATTGAATAACTGATCCGAATGGCCAACTCAAGTTGAGTTCATTGATTTGAATTGGGTATCGGTTATTGGTCTAATATATATTTGAACGTTCACCTACTGCCAAACTTTTAGATGGGCGACAACTTAACATGGTACCAAAGCTGAATGCCTCAAGTTTAAATCCCACATAAAAATGGGATAATAAAAATGAAAAAAAAAAAAAAAAAATCTAAGTTTAATGTGAAGGGGCCTATTGGTCTAATTATGTATGAGCCCTCACCTATTAGCTTAACCTTAGATGGGACAATTAACATTAGTAAAATTCCCAACCTTAGGTTTTAGGCAAGTAACCATTTAAGAAGGAGTGGAATAAACATATTGAAGGTGGATTATAATTTTCAAGTTATGAGATTTTTTTGCAACCATATTAGTCATAATCCCTGCATTAGTGATAATAATCAAATGGACAAATGAAAAAAAACCACGTACACACACAGAGATTTATAGTGGTTCAATCTCAAAAAGAAAATATGTCTATTTCGTTAGAATTTCACTATAAAAAAGAAGATATTATAAGATTTTCTTGAACTTCTTCAATTGCTTACACACTCTCTCTTTGTGGCTACACACTCTCTTAGGATTCAGCACCCTTTTATAGTGTCGAGGACATCTGACAATTCTATAGGTGATTGTAGATAGTAAAATCTACAGTTACAGGAGAAGGTTTTAATCCTATGAGGTTGAGGCCACTAACAATCTGTTGAACCTGGCCACAAAGAAACAAGCGCAAAGTTTACGTAAAACACTGGTGGGGTGTCTGCCATAGGCACTCTGACACTCAAGTCAGCAGACTGTTAAGATTCTAGGGTTTATGATTAAACCTAAATCAGTCTCAAACAGGTCATCAATCAACGATTAAACACAGACAAATGGAAAAATAGAAGAACAAATAAAAACAGGACACAACAGTTTATAGTGGTTCGCTTTATAGCCTACATCTACTCTCCAGGCTCACAATAGGGATTTCATATCAATAATATGTACAGTGAGATGATTTCATCAGAACATAAGGGAAAACAAACAAGGAAGAACACACCAATCGTAAACCCTAACTCTCTTAACCCAAAATATGCCTTTTCCTCTTGCACCAGTAGGTGTTATTACACATGCTCGAAAGCCTAAATCATCATCCAGCTGTCTCTGATTCTCCATAACTGCAAGATCACAAGATCAATTCTGGAACATTCAGTAGGGTTGTGAGTTGTCAAAGCAAAACAGAAATGAGAGAGAGGAATGAAGTCTGGGCACAAAATGAGATAACCCAAACAGATAACATATTAGGTTTGGCCAAAAAACGACGTCGCATAAGAGAGTTTGACTTTAACACTTAAGCTGACTTCCATCGTGGCAAATAAGGAGCCACATCACCATAATTCTCCACCTTGTCTTCTTGATTTGTCACTACCCATATGGCCTTGGAAATTTACCAGTTCACTCTTAAACTTGAAGCAGGCTCATACAAAGCCTGTGTTTTTCAAATGGGACAGATTTTGTGAACATGTCGGCATGATTATGAGATCCATCAATTTTCTCAATCTCGATTGCTCCTCTTTTAATCATTTCCCTAATGAAATGAAGATGGACATCAATGTGTTTGGTTCTTTCATGGTAAACTTGGTTTTTACAAAGGTGAATCGCACTCTGACTATCACTGTTAATCTTCACTGTCTGTTGCTCAGCACCCAGCTCATTGATCAGACCTTTCAACCAGGCAGGTGGCCTCCTCTGCTGCCTCAGTTAATGCAACATATTCTGATTCAGTTGAAGACAGGGTAACCATATGCTGCAATTTTGATTTCCAACTGATAGTGTTTCCCCACAAAGTAAAAACAAACCACGATGTAGACTTCCTTTTGTCTAAATCTCCTGCATAATATGCATCACAAAACCCCTCAACACACTCATCACAACTATGGTTTTTGTTAAAAATAATTCCTGCTGATTTGGTTCCTTGTAAGTATCTCATAATCCATTTAAGAGCCATCCAGTGAGTCCTTCCTAGATTGCTCATAAATCTGCTAACCAAACTTACAGCAAAACCTAAATCTGGTCTAGAACATACCATCAAGTACATTAGGCTTCCCAGTGCACTAGCATAAGGTATCCCTGCCATTTCAAGCTTCTCAGTTTCAGTCCGTAGACTCTGCTCATGTGAAAGTTTCAGGTGAGCACCGAGAGGAGTTTGAACAGATTTAGCATCCAGCATCTTGAATTTCTTCAGAATTTTCTCAGTGTAGTCCTTCTGGACTAACTTTAGACTTTCAGAAGCTCTGTTTCTGACAATGGAAACACCAAGAATTTTATGAGCTTGACCTAGCTATTTCATTTCAAACTTGGTGTTCAGTAACTTCTTCAGTCGACACAGCTCAGATTTATCATGGCATGCCACAAGCATATCATCCACATACAACAGTAAAAAAATATGTGTCAGTTCTGAGATTCTTTTACAGTAAAAACAACTGTCAAAATTACATCTATTAAACCCTATTTCTAACATAAAAGAATCAAATTTCTTATACCACTATCGTGATGACTGTTTCAAACCATACAATGATTTTTTTAATAGACAAACTTTACCTGTAGCACTGTTGTACCCTTCAGGCTGCTCCATTAGAATACTTTCTTCCAAATCCCCATGCAAGAAAGCTATCTTCACATCAAGTTGTTCTAATTCCAGATTGAATTGAACTACTAGAGAAATCAGGACCCTAATTGATGTATGTTTGACCACGGGAGAAAATATTTCATTATAGTCAACCCCCTCTACTTGTGTGAACCCTTTTGCGACTAACCTAGCCTTGTACCTAGGTGCATCCTGAGTTTTTAAACCTGGTTTCCTTTTGAAAATCCATTTGCATTTTACCGCCCTACAGTCTTCTGGTTTATCAACCAAAACCCATGTATTATTCTTCATAAGAGAATCAAATTCTTCCTCAATGGCTTTCTTCCATTCCAATTTTTCAGATCCAGAAACTGCTTCTTGGAATGTCTTAGGTTCATCATTCATCTCTTCCTCCACTTGAAGTGCATAAGCCACCAGGTCTGCATATCCTAGTCTACTTGGAGGTCTAATTGTTTTCCTAATTCTATCTCTTAATAATTGATAATCAGTCAAGTTTGAAGTATCTACACCTGGAGTATTCTGCCCTACTTCATGATCACCAGTTGGTTCTTCCTCATGAGTATCTAACTCCTCAACTCCACCTTGATTCAAACTTTGGCTAAAACTGGAGTCTGTCACTTCTAGTTCTAGGTGTCCAGCTTCTGAATAAGAGTTCTCAGATTCATCAGGTTTGTTTCCTAAACCAGGTAGGGTATTTTCTCTGAATATGACATCTCTACTCACAATACATTTCTTAGTTTCTAAATTCCAGAACTTGTAGCCTTTAACCCCATCTGGATATCCTAAGAAAATGCATTTAATGGCTCTAGTTTTAACTTTTCATCCTTAGAATGAACATAGGCTAGACATCCAAAAACTCTAAGGTTTTCAAGGTTTACAGGATGACCAGTCCACCTTTCAAGTGGAACTCTAAAACCTATAGCTAATGAGGGTGTTCTGTTTATCAAGTAGACTGTATCGGCTGCTTCTGCCCAAAACTTGACTGGAAGTTTGGAACATGATAGGATGCTTCTTACCTTTTCTAGAATAGTCATATTCATCCTTTCACAGAGCCCATTCTGTTGTGGAGTGTGACTCACTGTCCTATGTCTAACTACCCCATTATTTCTACAATAGTTATTAAATACCTCGTTAATGAATTCCAAACCATTATCAGTTCGTAACCTTTTCAGTTTCTTTCCACTTTGCTTTTCAACCATGGTTTTCCATTCCTTAAATCTAGAAAAGGCTTCATCCTTGGTTTTAAGAAAATAAATTCAAACATGCCTAGAGTAGTCATCTACAAAACTCAAAAAATACCTACACCCTCCAAGTGAATAATGCCTAGATGGTCCCCATAAATAAGAGTGCACATACTCAAATGGTGAGCTTGAGTAGTGTTATCCAGTCCCAAATTTTACCCTGCACATTTTCCCAAATACACAGTGCTCACAAAAATTCAGATTCCCTGTTTCATCCCCACCCAGTAGGTTTTGTTTACTGAGTTCACCTAAGCCCTTTTCACTAACATGGGCAAGCCTTCTATGCCACAAGGTAGTCTTATCTAGTTCCTCAGTTGACCAAAATTAGCCACTCCACTATCAGTCCTACCTTTCAACACATACAGTCCATTTTTTTTCTCAGCCTTCATGACAACCAGAGAACCCTTTAAGACACTAAGACTCCCATTAACAGCCTTATAATTCAGACCTATATAGTCTAAAGTTCCAAGAGAGATAAGATTTCGTTTTAGGTCAGGGACATACCTAACATCAGTAAGTGTCTTAGTTAATCCACTATGGAGATTTAGTTTAACAGATCTTATTCCCTTAATATGACAGACATTATTGTTTCCCATCATTACTTTCCCACCATCTAAAAGTTGAAATGAGCTAAACCATTCCCTATTAGGTGTCATATGATAGATACAACCAGTGTCTAAAATCCACTCTTCCCTAGTACTGCCCTCTGAAATAACTAGGACCTCTGAACTCTCATAACCTTCTGATACTACCCCTGCACTACCTCCATCATCCTCTTTCTCATATTCTTCTTTCTCTCAGGACAGTCTCTCCTAAGGTGACCCTCCTTATGACAGAAGAAACACTTCCATTTCCCAGGTTTGGACTTAGACCTATGTCTATTCTGCCCTCCCCTTTTCCAGTTCTTCTTTTCAGATCTTCCTCTTACTATAAAACCCTTACCATCACTCACATTTTTATCCCTAATTCTATTTTCAGTATCCTTAGCTGGGATAGCTTCTACTACTTCTTCTAATTTCAGAGTCTGCCTACCATATTTCAAAGTCTCTACAAAATTCGAGTAGGATTTGGGTAGTGAATTCAACAAAATCACAGCTTGGTCCTCATCACCAATTTCAATGGAAATACTCTCTAAATCTTCTATGATCTTAAGAAAATCATTCTTATTATCTTTTAGAGATTTTTGTTCATCCATCTTAAACCCAAATAAACTCTGTTTTAGAAATAAATGATTAGGCACAGTCTTAGACTGATAAAGTGAGTCTAACCTGCTCCATATCTCTACAGCAGTCTTTTCTTTTTTGACTTCTCGAAGCACTTTGTCACCCAAGCCAAGGATTAGCGAGCTCTTGGCCTTGTTCAGCATGTCTTGTTTTTCAATAGTGGTTAATGTTGCAGGTAACTCATCTTCTCCCTTCAGAGCTAACGCCAAGCCCTCTTTAACCAGTACCGCCTCCATCTTTATTTTCCATAGTCCAAAGTCGTTCTCACCTGTAAACTTCTCAAGCTCATATTTAGTTGACATGTTTTCTCACATATCAAAAAAAAATTCAGCAACAGAGAATGAATCAGTTTAAGGAAACTTAGAGAAATGTATTTAGGTAAGATTAAAACAGAGAAACCCTAACTGGACCTTCAATCGAGCTCTGATACCAATTTGTTAAGATTCTAGGGTTTATGATTAAACCTAAATCAGTCTCAAACAGGTCATCAATCAACGATTAAACACAAGACAAATGGAAAAATAAGAAGAACAAATATAAAACAGGACACAACAGTTTATAGTGGTTTGGCTTTATAGCCTACATCTACTCTCCAAGGCTCACAATAGGGGATTTCATTATCAATAAATAATGTACAGTGAGAATGATTTCATCAGAACATAAGGGAAAAACAAACAAGGAAGGAACACACCAATTCGTAAAACCCTAACTCTCTTAACCCAAAATCTGCCTTTTCCTCTTGCACCAGTAGGTTTTAAATACACATGCTCGAAGCCTAAATCATCATCCAGCTGTCTCTGATTCTCCATAACTGCAAGATCACAAGATCAATTCTGGAACATTCAGTAGGGTTGTGAGTTGTCGAAGCAAAACAGAAATGAGAGAGAGGAATGAAGTCTGCGCACAAAATGAGATAACCCAAACAGATAACATATTAGGTTTGGCCAAAAAACGACGTCGTATAGGAGATTTTGACTTTAACACTTAAGCTGACTTCCACCGTGGCAAATAAGGAGCCACATCACCATAATGGCTGAAATAGACTATTTAGTAAAGGCAAAGGGGAGGAAGGGTTTATTGAAGTCTGATTGGAGATTAGAGCTACGGTGAAGGTTAGGAGCAAGAACTTTAGGAGCTAGTAGATGGTAGTGAATATTCTATCTTTAATGAGAGGCAATACATCTCTTTATATAATGGTCATAGGATCTTTGAATTTTGATAAGACTTTAAGTCCATAATGGTAGGGGTGTGAAAAAAAAAGGGAAACCTGAACCTTAAAACCGTTTGGTTTTGGTTCATAAAATTGACTAAACCGGTTTTTCAGTTCGGTTATCAGTTCAACCAATTTTGGAAACCAATTAACCGAAACTAGTTTTTAACTAATATATTATATATGATGTGGATGTCTCCTTTTCTAAGATGTGCGGCTGGGATCTTCACTCTTCCCACAAAACTCCCTAAGGTTTATATCTGAAGCCGCTAGGGTTTTCAAGTTCTCTTTAGTCTCCTGCCTCTGTTTAGTTACTTTCCTTCCATTTTTTTGTGTCCTTTGTGTTTAGTTATGGCTTTGAGTTTGTTTTACGTTAAGATAATCTGCTTAGAACCTCTAACATTTACCTTTAATTTATATATTTTCCTTTTTTTTTTTTTGGTTGTATGTCTATTTAATTTGTGTTGTGTTTAAACTTTAATGAGATAGGGAGTATCGAAGGGAATGTCATAGGAGTTTAGCCTTTTTAACAAATCCTTCTCTTACATAAACTTCAGTTTACGAACTAGGTCACCTTCCGAGCAAACTTGTTTTGTCTCTCAGCAGGTGGCATTAATCGGTGCCTACACTTTTTTGTTTTGGTTTTCAAGATTGTATCTCTATAATGTTTAAATTCAGATTTGGGTCTTTTTGTTTTTTGATACCAAAATATGAATGACAAAGAACTCAAACCAACCATAAACATTGGATGAAACTTGAAGAAAGGATTTTGATTGTTTGTGATTGAGTTTCAACTTGAAGAAGGGAAAAATTAGAAATTAATTTTTTTATTTAAAAATCGGTTCAAAACCTGATTATTCGGTTTGGTTTCAATAGTAGTTCGGTCCGATTTCAGTTTAGATTTTTACCTGAATTGGTTTTTCGGTTCGGTTTGAAAAATGGCCAAACCGATTCGGTTAACCGGTTTTTCACACCCCTACATAATGGTAGAGTTCTAGTAAACAAGAAGAACTCGATTTGCTTGCCTTTGTAGGAATGAGAGTCAAAATTCACATAAGATAAAAGATCTTGAGTGAATTAGGATAAAAACTAAATAGGAAGTAGATGTATTAGGGTTTTCGTGGGATTTTGGACCCTCAGAAACGATCATGGACCAATGGGTCTGACTCTAGGTGGGCTAATGATGAGGCCCAATCTGAATGATCCAATCTGGAGAGGCTAGGTTGGTGTTATGGGTCTGGCCCATGACATAAACCTTGACGTAGACCCAATCAGAATTGGGTCATGGCCTTGGGCCATATAGTAGATGTTTCATGCTTGGGTCTGATAAGGCCTAAGACGATTTTTGACCCATACAATGATATAGAGTAATTGAGGTTAAAAGACATTCTCTTCTAAGCAAAAAAATACGTTTTTCTTGTAGTGTGTTTGTTACAACTAATTCTAATTGTCTTTGCCACAACAAATTTGGGTTAGTACAGCAAACTAGCTTGTGGAATGAATGATAATATTTTAGGCTATAGCAAGAAGCGAATCTGCAAACTCTACATTCCTTTGATTCCACTTTGAATTTTCTCCACAACTCAACATCAAGTGTGGGTACGGTACTTGCATGTGAAGTTTGGAGGGGAAGGATAGGTTGCTGATGGAGACCAGAGCCCAAAATTTGTAGGAGGTGGAGGCCGGCAGTAGATGCGTAAATTGTTTGACTTTATTGGAAATGGGGATTTTATTTAATAATTCTCCAAATAAAATATGCTATTTGGTTACTAGTTTCAACTTGTCATTTTTCGACTTATTATTGAGCTGCTATCAATTATGATGGGTATTATTCAAACATAATACAACACATACAATATTTCTCATTCAACATGATGTGATAAAAGATGGTTGACTGATTTTAAATTAAAAATAAATTTTCATCAAATCATCTTTTACCACATTATGTTGTATTAAAATGTTTTATGTGTAGTATTACTCGTTATTCAAACTTAATTCCATCTTTGACACCATAAGAAAATTATGTTTTCCTGCCCAACTTTCTTCGGATATAATCCTTAGGCGTTCTGTAATACACCTACACGGTTTTGGAGTCATATTAGCCGTGGATATACTATTCAGCCTACTGTAATGCAACTTCGACATCATCATAGGCCTTTATATGCTTTTTAGCTTGTTGCGGCACAACTTCAGCGTCGTCGTAGGCTCTAATATACTTTTAGGCCATTATAACACAATTTTGACTTCACAATAGATCTTTCCCTTTAAACAGACACGACAATAAACCCACATGTCTTGATTTTTTTTATTTTTAAATTTAAACTCGCATTCTTGGTGATATGAATGCATTAAAAGTCAATTTCATTCAAATTTATCGTATTATGTACATGCGCAGCTAAGAAAGCAAATTTGGTTTTTAAAAAAAATCAGGATACCTTGCAAGGGAGAATGATTAAGATATATGGGGCCAAAGTAAAAGACAGTTTCTACAGTGAAGGAATATAATGGCATAAATTAAGGTCCCT